TATAGGACTTTGCTCATATTCAACTCGACTGGATGTGATTCGACTGGACTGGACTTGAAGTACATGACCCAAGTGTGTAGACTCAACTCGATGTGGTAACATGACATGACCCAACGTGCGTGACTTAATGTGCATAGACTCAATGTGTATAGACTTAACTCAATGTTCATAGACTCAACTCATCGTGACTCAAAGTGTTTCGACACAATACGTGTAAACTCAATTCAATCATGTGGTGATTGTGCTCGTGCAACTCGAAAAAGCAAAAATATTCCGTCATTTTTGTGGAGGGTATTCGACTTTCTCCCCAAAAAGAAAAAAATGAAAAATGGGAAATCAAAATTAGTGAGTGTAAAAATATTTTGAAATTCCTAAGAAGAATTCCAAATCATCAAGGATCAATCATGGTAAAGGATGGTAAGTAATTTGGGATAAGGTGGGAAGGGAAAGTTTAGTTTGGATCAAATTGGGTGTTATATGGAATAGTACGAGTCATATTAGGAATCAAATCAAAGAGCTTTGGACGCGGAATTTGTAGCACAGACGCTAGGACTTATCGCGGCGCGTTAGGGTCTGACACAGCGCGCTGGTTTCGAAAAATCCGACTCCGAATAAATTTCAGCTTCTATGCTAATTTTCGGTTATAAAAAGGCCTCAAATATGTCATATTCATCATAATTTGAGTCTTTAGATTTCATATTCTTCTAGCTTTCATATTCTAGCAATCATGTCTAAAAATGTTAGTGAGATTACTCACGAGTGGTGTCGGTCTCTGACCAATTGTGAGCGAAAAGAGCTTGAATATTTCAACATGAATGGCCTATTGGGTCTTAGGAGTGTAGAATTTGATAGTAATTTCATCCATGCTGCAATAAAATATTGGGATCCCAACACTCATTGCTTTAGGCTAGGAAACGATGAAATTAGCCCCCTGCCAGAGGAATTTGGAGCTATTTTTGGCTTTCCTTCTAATCCCTACAATATGTGAGTATTATTATAAGAATTTTGAGCATTTTTATAATCTTTGGGAAGCTGATTTTAATTCTATAGTTCATGGAAAAGAAGTAGACCTAAGAAAATTTGCATCTTTTAATTTCTTTAATAGACCTAAGTCTAGTTCTTTTGACATATATAATAGAAAGGCCTTTTAATTTTGCATGTTTAGCAACTTTTATTCCCTAATGGTAGTAGCCACAGGGGTCAACAGTGGCGTATCTAGGAATTTCGATGTGTGGGTTCGAAATTGTAAAAAAGAATGAAAATATTAATTAAAGATTCAATATGAGCACATTAGTTCAAATTTAGGACTACAAATGGATTACACATTCTTCTATTGGATGATCCCTTCCACTAGGTAAAAAACACGTGGAGTACTTTTGTGACTTGACGCACGTTACTAAAAAGACTCTAAACTCATGGTAAAAACCTCACAATCTATATATGAAGCAAAATTCTTTGTAACATCTCTTTATATATATATATATATATATATAGTAAATGTAGAATTGTAAATCAATAATACACAAAAATCAATCAAGTATTTATTAAAATCGCTAAATAATATAATATTCTAATTTCTAAGTTCTATCTCCAAAATGACCAAAAATGAAAAAAAAGAGAAAAAAAGCAGACGCATCAAGTTACCCAAGTTTCTAGGTCAATAGAACTTTTCTACAAAAGCTATTAATATACACAAACAAATATTAAATAACCATCTCCATTTATTAGCCAACGTGCTAGAAGATCCAAGCAATAAGCAATTATGAGTTTCCCCTTTCCAGGTCTTATGAGCGGTGCCGAGGTGGCCGGTGGATGAAAGCGTGCGACATAGTTGAAGTTTGATTGTTTGAGGTGTTGAGTTAGAGAGAGAAATTTGAGTCTAAGGTTTGCGAATTTGGAAAAAAAAAATGAGAAAATAGGAATTAGAAAGTTAGAGTAGTAGACTGCTGCCCCCAAAAATATAAGATTGATGTCAAGGATCGAACCCTTGATCTGCAACACTAATAGTTAGTAAAAAAATACCACTGAGCTGCGCTTTTACTGCTTATCATACTTCACACAAATATTAGTTATAACTTTTTTTTTTTTTTTTTCTGAAAATCAATGTGTTCAATGAACCCACTTAAATCCACCCTGTATTCGCCACTGGAGTCAAGCCATATTAGTATCAATAATGGAACAAGTTGATGCCGAGAGAAATCCCATGCCTGCAATTGTTGGAGAAACAATGATGGGATTAGATGAATTGAAGAAAGATCCTAAAGCACCAATTCGAGGATCTCCTTTATCATTGCAGGTAGAAAATCAATACTTTTAATTATAAAAATAAAAAATATTTAATTTTGTAATGTAATAACAATTAATTTTTATGTTTGCAGATTTGGCTAATGGAGCGACTAGGATTGATCAATCCTCCTGATGATGTTGAAAAGTATACTCCAAATTGTCTTGTGAGAAGGAAGAAACGCTTTTCCATAAAGATGGGCTATCAAGAGTGGAGCAAAATATTCTAAACTCGCGATTTCCCCCATCAAGTGGGTTGTTCCATGGTAGAAGATTGAGAAGATGAATGGAGTCAACACTCAACCTTTCTATTGCGTCCCAAGCTTATCAAAGTTGACTTTTTATTTCCCTTCTAGAGTGATGAGACAATATAGACTTGCACAAACTATCCCTGCTGGTGATAATCGTCGTCCTCATGAATATTCTGTTTCAAAGAATGTTGAGAGGTTCGATGATTATTGGTACGCGAGACCATTGTGGACTGTTGTATCTGATAGAGTTCCTCCTCCATTGTCTCAGGAATATAAACAATGGTTACTTGCTCGAAATCAAAAGGAAAAGAACAAGTCTCGAAAAACAAACTCTAAGGGTGCAGAGAAGAGTAACATAGAAGACCGCCTAAGGGACAAGAAGGCTCACCTAAAGATCGTCTGGTTCAAGAATTGAGTTCAAAAATCCTATCATACCAAAATAGAAAGGTGTTATAGAGGGTAAAGGGAAGAGAAAAACTATATCTACAGAGAAAGAAAAGAAAGTTTGGGTTGAGAAAAAGGTGGGGGCTTTTGCAAAAGGAGAGACTTCTTCCTCAAAGGTTTCAGTTCGCTCATCTAAGGGTTCACTACTGGTAAAAGAATTATCAGATGATGAAAACACAGATAAGAACTGAAAAATGACTCGTAAGGAAAAAGTAGAATAGATTTAGAGTACTGCTTTGCCTTTAATTTCATTAGACAATTTCAATTCAAAGTTAATTTTATTTTTAATAAGGCGTAATGCCATCAATAATGTAGTTTCAATTTTTATTCAATTATCAATGCAATTTTAGCCTTTAATAAAATTAAATTTATTTCAATTCAATTTTATTTTGAAATAATTTCCTAAGTACGAAAGTTGGGAGAAATGGAAGAACTTGAAAATTCAAATCGACACATCACACATATATGCAATCTTCTTGCCTTCGTCAATGCACTGCAGAGTTTGCAGCAACCTCTCAAATTGGAACCTGCAGCAAAGGTCCGCACAGTTTTGTCATTGACGAAACCGAATTTGAATTGCCAAAAATCTCGAACAATTTTTAATTGAACTACCCTTTTTGGGGGTCCCTAATATGAGTTCAATTATTTGTTTTCATCTTCAAAGCTTCTCAAAAATTAGTTTACACCTTCATGTAATTTGTTAATCATTATGTACTCATGTAATTTGTTTAAAACACAATCCGAGTACTGTAGTCAAAAAATTTTCGAACCAGTTCAAATGCAAAACAGGTTGCGAGTATTCGCCGTTAATCGGCAAAAATCGGATGTTTTCATCACCCGGCGATACTCCCAACGTGACGCGATGGATCTGTCGCGGCTCGTTAGGACCTGACGCAGCGCGATATTGAGACGTTGATTTTATTCTTCCTGATTGCAATTTCTGTATCGATTCAATGTTTCCAAAGGCGATATTTTAAGTGTTTTATGGTGGCCGCACCTATGGAAGGGTTGCCTATGTATCCTTAGTCTTTAAGGATTAAGGCTAAACGTAGCTCTCTTGAGTGCGGAACTCGTTTGATCATGGGTAGAACTTCTTGAGTTGGTCAAGGTTTGTCATACTTGAGAATTCATTGTCGTCCATATCTGTTAACTTAGTTGCGCCTCCAAATAGGTTAGCTTTCATGATGTATGGTCCAGACCAATAAGCCTAAACTTGCCTTTTGGGTCTAGAACATTCTTTCTAAGAGCTTTCAACACCAAGTCTCCTTCCTTGATGTTTCTTATCTTGTCCTTTTTGTTAAAGTGTCTAGTCATGTGATTTTGATAGCATTGGACATGATGTAAGGCTTCTAGTCGTTTTTCATCGAGTAGAATTAGCTCTTCGTACCGTGCTTTTGTCCATTCAACCTCATCAAGTTTACTTTCCAATGCTATGCGCAAGGAAGGTATTTCTAGCTCTATAGGATGTAAGGCGTCCATTCCATAGACTAAGGAGTCGTGCGATAACCCCAAAGAGCATAATAGAGTTTAGCAGGCCAATCCTTATAATTCTCTGTCATCTTTTCGATGATTGTCTTTAGATTTTTATTGGCTGCCTCTATTACGCCATTTGCTTGAGGTCTATATGGAGAAGAGTGATGGTGTTGAATACCATACTTTTTAAGTAGGTCTTCACGCTCTGCTTGAAAGTGAGTACCATTGTAACTTATCATTTCATGTGGGACTCCATATCGACATATGATGTTTCTTTCTATGAAGAGTGCAACATGTTTTGCGCTGAGTTTTGCACAGGATGCTGTTTCAACCTAATTTGGTGAATTAATCGATGGCAATGAGGATGTATTCATGGCCTCCTAATCCAGGTGGAGTGATTTTTTCAATGATATCTATTCCTCAGGTTGAGAATGGCCATGGAGATGTGTAAGTGTAAAGAAGAGAAGATGGAACATGTTGTAAATTGGCATATATTTGGAACTTTGCACACCTTTTCACATATTGATAGCAATCTCTTTTCATGGTGGTCTAATAATAGCATTGGCGCATGACTTTCTGGGCTAGCATTTTACCATTCATGTGTGTTCTACATGCTCCTTCGTGGATGATTCTCATTGCCTTTTGTGCCTCCTTTTTTCCTACACATAGGAGAGCTCTTCCTTTAGGTACTCTTTTATGGAGTTCACCATCTATAAGCACATACTGTGAGGCTAAGTGTCCCAAAGCACGTTTTTCTCTTTTGTAAGTATTAGGTGGATTTTCCCCTTTAGTGACATAATTGAGGATGTCTATGTACCATGGTTCTCCTTCGTCCTCTTGGACTTCTTCTTCATCCTCAAGGGCTTGAACATAGGCGGGCTTATGCCTTTTCACTGTGGTCAGAGGCATTTGCTTGGTTTCTTTAGGAATTCTAACCATCGAGGCTAGTCTTACTAAAGCACCAGCAAATTGGTTTTCTTCTCTTTGTAGGTATGCGTACTCTGCCTTGTCGAGTTGATTAGTGAGAGTTTCCAAATAAGTTTGGTATGGAGCTAGACTTTCACTCCTCACTTTCCATCTCTTGGAAATCTGGTTAATGATGAGAGATGAGTCTCCAAATATTCGAAGCTTTTTGACTCCAACTACCAATGCTATTTCGAGGCCTACCACATGTGCTTCATATTCTGCAGCATTTTTGGAGACATCGAAGTCAAGTTTTATTGAGATTGGTATATTCTCTTCATTAGGTGACACCAGTATGACTTCTACGCCACATCCCTTTTGATTGGATGCATTGTCAAAGTATAGTATCCAGGTGTCATCCTCAGTGATAAGTAATTCCTCATCCGGAAACTCATTTTCTTACACTAGTGTTGAGTCTTCAAGTGGAAAGTTAGCCAAGAAGTCAGAAACAGCGGATCCTTTAATAGACTTTTGAGGCACAAATCTTAAGTCAAATTGAGCCATTGTGACTATCCATCTCACCACATGGACTGTGTGAAAGAGCATGTAATGCCTTAGATTCTTTGTGGCCCACACGAGTGCGAGGCACAATTTTTTAAGTGGTGTATAGCGAACCTCAAATTCAAGAATCTTCTTACTTAGGTAGTAGATGACGTTTTCTTTACCTTCTACTTCTTGTGCAAGCATAGCCCCCCATTATTTCCTTAGTGACTGTTAGGTATAGAAAAAGGGGAATGTCTGGTAGTGCTAGTGCTAGTACAGGAGGATTCGTAAGGTAGGATTTGATCCTATCAAAGGCTTCTTGACACTCATTGTCCCATACTACTGGTACATTCTTCTTGAGCTTCTTGAATATATATTAGTTCACATACTGTGGTAAGTTTCTATATGAACCTACTTATGTATTGCAACCGGCCAATGAATCCTCGAATTTTCTTCTCGGTGTTAGGCGGTGGCATGGACATGATAGCCTTGATCTCGGTGGGGTCTGTTTCAATCCCTCTAGAGCTAATGATATAGCTTAGAAGTTTTCCTGAGGTAACCCCGAATGCACACATAGCTGGATTTAGTCTCATGTTGTACTTGCGAAGTCTTTCAAAGAATTTTCTTAAGGCTATTTGGTGACCTAGACGATCTTTGGATTTTATAATCATATCGTCCACGTACACCTCAACTTATTTATGCATCATGTCATAAAGTAAGGTAGTTGTTGCTCTTTGGTATGTGGCACCCACGTTTTTCAACCCGAATGGCATCACCACGTAGCAGTAACTGCCTTATGGTGTTATGAAGGTAGCCTTTTCCACATCTTCTTCTGCCATAAGAATCTGGTTGTAACCCGCGTACCATCCACAAACGAGAGAAGTGCGTGATTTGTTGTATTGTTTACTAGAATGTCAATGTGAGGTAGAGGGAAATCGTCCTTTGGGCTGGCTTTGTTGAGATCCATGTAGTCGACACACATTCTTACTCTACCATCTTTCTTGGGAACCGATACCACGTTAGTGACCCATTCTGGATACTTGGATACCCTGATAAAACCTGCATTTTTTTGTTTTTAAAAATTTTCTTTTATTTTAAGTGCTACGTCGGGTTTCATTCAGCGTAACTTTTGTTTTACAGGTTTCATTCTCGGAATTAGTGGTATAGTATGTTGAGAAATTTCTTTACTTATACCTGGCATATCTTCATATGACCAAGCAAAAACATCGTAAATTCAACAAGTAGATTTATTAATTTAACTCTTTCATCTTGACTTAGAGTTAACCCAGTTTTAACTTCTCTCTAAATGGTGGGATCTTTTGAGATGTTAACTATCTCAGTTTCTTCAATTACTGGTGTTTTATTCTTAAGTGCTTCCATTTCTTTAATTATTTCTTTGTCATTTTCATTATTATCAAATCAATACTCGTCATCATTGGTAAGGGAATAACACGAAGAGTAAGCGGAAGAAGTCATATTATTAAACTCTTAAACCATTACATCAAAAAGAGACGGGTCTGCGTGGACCTGGCTATTAAATATTCTAGGGTTAGACTCTAAGGTAGGATTGATAGTAGGAGGTGCAACAATAAGGGATTTGGAAGACTCAAGAATGGAAGACTTTAAAGAAGACTTAGACTTAGACTCTGACTAGGACCTAGATGACTCAGACTCATCAAACATAGAGCCTTCTCTCGTAGTTATGGCTATCTTCCTTTCCCTTGGTGTGGTCACTTTCACGGTCTTACGCCATCCCTTAGGTAGTCCTTCTGCTTGATGATGAGCTTGAAGGGGTCAAAGTCCTCGCTTTGTAAGAGAGTTTGTACAAGTGTGGAGTTGTCATCGACACACTTAGGCTCGTTTTTCTCGTACTCAAAGAGAAGACCCATGACATTGAAGTAAAAGCATGGGGTATACGTTCCTTATAGGTATGATTGGGAACTCCATCTAGAAAGTTTCAATCCAAGAAGATCTCAAACCCAGGCTGGCGTATTCCATCCCTGACAAGTGGTTCAGGAAATTCATAGCATGGGTAGTCTTCTTCTTCTTCTTTTATAAATTGTCCATTCAAAGTGAGAGGATAGGGATCTATTGGTATTGCATCTTTCTGGTCACGAGCTTTCCTTCATGCAGCAGACTTGTTTAAGGCTCGATTAAGGTCTTCTAGAATTGGCTCAAATCCAAGCCCAAAAGTATCCCTCTTAGGGAGACTAGGTAGTCCCATGCGCTTGGCTATTCCTTTCTTCTTTCCAAGAGTCATTCCGAGAAAGTGTCCTTGCCTTTTTAGAATAGCATTGACGACAAGAATTGAGTGAGGGTTATAGTCAAAAGGTGTCTTTGCATCTTCGTTGATAAAAGAGACCTCTTCGGCGTCAAAGCCCCACAAATCTTCATCATGTTCATCGTGCTTCACGTGAATGATTGGTTTGTCAACCGCTTTGATTCTCATGGGGGAGGCATCGATTGTAAGAGGAATTCCTCCAACTATAGCCTTTACTTTTTGATGGAGAGATGAAGGAAAGACCTTTAAGTCATTGAGCCAAGGGAGTCCCAACAATAGTTTGAATGAAGCCTTAATGTCCACTACTTGAAAAATGGTGCTATGTTTACTTACTCCCGCAGTAACATTCATGGCGATGGTTCCAAGAGCTTGATGACGAGTGTTGTCATAAGCTCTTATGCGTTGTGTGGATGGGGTGATGTCTTCATCCTTTATTTCCAACATTCTAGTAGTACGAAGTGGGCACATATCAATTACTGAACCATTGTCTACAAGGGTCATTGACACATTCATTCTTTTACACACCACAGTGAGGTGGAAGGCTTTGTTGTGTTTATCACCTTTTGGTGAAAAGTCCTTATCAGAGGAGGTGATCAAATTATTTGGACTAGGGAGGTCACTTGTGAGGAATTTGGCCAACCCTTCTGGAGTAGTTTCGGAATATATTCTTACTTTTGCTAAAGCATGCATCACTGTAACTCTATGCTCATGAGATGAGGCTAGAATCTTCCACACATTCATCTCAACTTTAGTCTTTTTAAGTTATTTGACTATTCATTAAACCATCAGCTTAACCACATTACAACCCTTGAAAGACCTCTTTGAGATGTACATACACTTGTGCAAAGTTCGGCTAGAGCTACGTTTGGCCTGATTCCTAACGGATACGTAGGAAACCTCATATAGAGGTGCGGCCACATTCATATTCATGCATATCGAGTCAAAGAATATCCACTGCTTATCCTTATTTATCTAGAGCTAGACTTGGGGCCTTGAACCCATATCACTTAGCTTATCTAGCCTAAAGAGTCATCATCTTTGAATCTTCTCACATTTATTCCCATCGCCATAGCCTTTGCAGCCAGCCTTAGTATCACTTTCATACACTTCATTCACACATACATAACCCTATCATCCTTCCCTTAGGAACCCTTTATCATGAAATCTTACTTCAATAATGCACATGCTTCATAATCTTTCAGGACAACATGGCATACTTGCTTAGCTTCCTAACCTATGGAATATTCGTTTTTTCATACATTACACATTGTGTTTAGATTCCTGAACTAAGCAATACTCATCAAGATTCATTGTTTCACACATCGTAAATGTACTTAGCTTTCTAACCTGGGTACATTTATCAAAATTCATGCAAGATGTGCTTAGCTCCCTAACCTAAACAACATTCACTATTTCATACATTACATATTGTGCTTAGTTCCTCGGCATGGAAGTACAAAACTTCTTCTTTTTTTTCATCTTTTTTTTTCTTTTGGGGAAGTTTAAAAACTTTGTCAAATTTTTTTTCGAGGGAAGTTGGAAAATTCTTACTTATTTTTCACGTCTTTTTGGGAGAAAGTCGGTACCCTCCACTCATGACAAAAAAATGACGGAATATTTTTGCATTTTCAGTTGTTGGTGTCTGCGGACACTCAAACTATACACACACAGTCACAAGTCATACACATGTCATGTCGTGTCAAGTTAAGCTTGGTCAAGTTAGTTGGTTAAGTCAATCATAGTCCATGCGAGTCCCTTGGCAAATTCTATTTCGCAGGTCTCAGGTACAATCAAACAAATTACCATCATCTACAACCTACGTTCAGAGAAAATCGAACCATTGTCATTTATCAAACACCTAGTGATCATCTCCCGAGGCGAGGACGATTCACGTTGCAAGTTTCTCGAGGCGTAGAGACTTGTAATTTCTCATTATCAGACAAGCTTTTCCCGAGGCGTGGAAAATTGTCAGTCGTTGCACACTTCTCGAGGCATAGAAATCGGCGATTGTGTCCTAAGGCGTGGACGATTCACGTTGCAAGGTTCTCGAGACACAGAGACTTTTAATTTCTCATTATTAGACAAGATATTCCCGTGGCGTGGAAAATTGTCGGTCGTTGCACACTTCTCGAGGAGTAGAAGTCGGCGACTATGTCCCAAGGTGTGGACGTTTAGTGTTATTATCAGACAAGCTATTCCTTAGGCGTGGAAAATTTTTGGTCGTTGCACACTTATCGAGGCGTAGAAGTCGGCGATTTCTTCCCGTGGTGTGGAAAATTATCATCCAATAGAGTTTCCAAGGCGTGGAAACAATCTCATATTAGTCTTCCCATGGCATGGAAATACATTAGCTAACAACATTCCTGAGGCGTGGAAAAATATCATCTAACAAAATTCCCGAGGCGTGGAAAAATATCATCAAACAGCTTTCCCGAGGCGTGGAAAAATATCATCTAACAAAATTCCCGAGGCATGGAAAAATATCATCTAACAGAATCAATTCCCAAGGCGTGGAAAATTATTATCCGGTGGATTTCTCGAGGCGCAGAAATCTACCAAACATATTTGCAACCGATACATTGGTGTCAGATACGCATTCTATATCCTTACTCTTTTATCTGTGGAACTAATGCTTTTCTGCAGGTATCGGCGTATACAGAGTGATTTAAGATCGCAGAACATCTTAAATCATTCTCCGTCCCGATCGACTACTTTGACTATCGTTTTCGAAACTTGCGTT